ATTATTATTATTTTATTATTATTATTGTGATTATTATTATTATTATTAATATTATTGTATAATAATGTAAATTTTGTGCCGAATTATTGTTTCAATTAGTCACTTAATCAATAGCCTTTTGAGTGTTCACTGGGAATTGTTTTGAAATTGGCGCCTTTCCAAATTTGGCGTTTCTGCCCCACCACTGTGCCTTCATTTGTTCTGCTTCTCTAACACTCTGCCAATGTTTCTATCTTTGTTTCTATCACTCTCCAGTGTTTCCACAGTCACTGTAGAAAAGTTACACTGTAAAATTTATTCTGTCTCTTTCTTTCTCTGCTCTCTCTTAAATCCTTGCTCTCTCACTGAAGGAAATAACACTGTCAAAAGTTTTTAAATTGTTATTGTTTTATTATTATTATTATTGCCTTACTTTATTGTTTTAATTAATTAATTAATTTGTTGGTATTGTTTTACTTAATCAATTTTGTTGTCTACCCTCTATGAGGAGTGCCTTTGGCGTCGAAAAAAAACCTCACTAGACTTTCTGGCGCAGTTCCAGATTTCCCCCATTTTGGCGAATCGTCCCCACCACTCCCACGCTTTCCTCACACCCACTCCAATATCAATTACCTCATTGTCAGATTCGACTGCGATTCCGAGCGGTCGGCTGGGACATTTGACACCCGTGCGAGTTTCATTTTATTGGTTTGTTGTTTTGTACTGCCGAACCATTTGCTGTAAATATTATTATTATTATTATTGTGTGTTAGAAAAAAAGGTGAAGAAAATATATTTTTCTCCATTTGGTATCATTTTTATGAAGAATTTTTTGATTTTTTCGTTTTTTTTATTTGTTAAAAACTGAAATAAACTATTGTTTCAATGGGATTTTAAGGCATTTTTTGAATTGGGCGGAAAAATTGCGATTGGTGTTACCTGAATTACCTGGATTGGTGTTACCTGAATTACCTGAATTGGTGTTACCTGAATTACCTGAATTGGTGTTACCTGGATTACCTGAATTGCTATTGCCTGGATTACCTGAATTGCTATTACCTGGATTACCTGGATTGTTATTACCTGGATTGGCAAGCAGGCGGCTGTCATCAAACGTTTGTAACTAAAGTTGCTGGCCACAATGCTCGCAATGTTTCCGTGCGGCGCATTGTTTTAGCCTCAATTCACGCCNTCACGCCGTCACCCGGCTGGCTAGCTGGCGAGCAGGCCAACCGAACGAACACAACCGAGTAATTAATTAGTTGCCGTGAATACTTTGCTTAATTAATCCAAATAGCCAAATACCATAAATCCAATAAATAATCATTACTCTAATAAAATAAATATTCCGTCGATCGCTCCTCTTAGCGATTAACAAAACAACCACTCGATATCCATGTAACTATAATAAAATTATTGTTATACCTCGTTAATGTTATACCCGTTCCAATTTGACCAAGAAAACAAGCTGAATTACTCGAAAAATCACAACTTTAGTATGTCTTTTTGTGTTTTTTTTGATTTTTTACGTAAAAATACGAATTTTTTGTAGAAATATCGTGAAAATGTTGAAAAATCCCATGAATTTGAGTAAAGTTATTCAAAATTTCCCGAAAAAGTTACCCTTTTCAGAGGGTTACCACAGCGTTTTTGGGAAAGTTTGTGGGAAATCAAGGGAAGCGGAGCGGAAGGGGGTAAATTCCCGGTGGGAAAGAACCTGTGGGATGTCTCTTTAGAGAAAAAAGAAGGTTCTCCCACGGGTTGTACTTCAATTTGCGCGTTCTGTTGCTCAGCCACTGGTAGATAGCTGCGCGGTGGTATAGTGTTGCGAGAGATTTTGATGCAGTAATTCAAATTTCGCGCCAAACTGCAATCGATAACAGCGCTAAAGCACTGAAAATTGGCATCACACTCGCTGTCTGGCATTCGTTCGCGCTGTTTATTTTTATTATTCATTTATTTATTATTGTTATTATTTATTATTGTTATTATTTATTATTGTTTATTGTTATTTATTATTATTTATTATTATTATTATTATTGTAG